TTCCTGGCTAGAAAAGCGGAAATTCAGTTAAACGTGATGTGATTTCCTAGCTGTCATTAGCTTACCCACTAAATCATTATATTGCCATTGACGATTATCTTTTCCTACATTTGTCTTCTCCCATTCTGTATTTGAATTAACCAATCAATATTTTTGCTAAAAAATACCATAACCAACAGCAGTGATATAGCAAGCGAGACACTCAAACACAATTGCAAATCTCCTATCTATCCGATTACTCTCTAGTCCATATTTTTGCTCCGAGTTAATTTGTTTATTTGTAGAAGGTCCTGCTCATTTTCCATTTTACCTAACCTAAAAACATAGTCGGAACTAACCAAGTTTTAAGCAAAAGTAACACGACTACTGACTCCTGTGTTCTGTTATGCATTCTTGATAATAGTACCCCAACACAATACCCCCGGTGTCGCGCGAACGACGCTGGAAAAATGGGCCCAAAGCCTCACTTGATCCACTTCTTTTCTTGATACTCTCGTTTTTGACAAAAGTGCCCGCCAAATGAACTAAATGTAAATCTCATGTACCCTACAATACTTTATAAAACTTACGTTAAAACAGTACTTTCAATACCTTCCCGGCCTTAGGAAGCTTCACAAACAAAAACGCAGCTTAATAGGTTACGCCCTTCCGAGAGGCAGCCACGCCCCCCGCGCGGCGCCCCTCGACCGCGGCACACATAACAGAGACTGCTGAAATTAAAAGTGTCACGGGCCCCAAATTGAGTACTCAGGCTAAATTATCTTCCTAATCAGGAGCACATCTAGCGATAGGATCCATGGCAAACAGACCCGACAAAGCTTCCATTCAAAACCCTTGCACTTAACAGTTGTCAATATTTTTTAAACTTCGTCCGGTTGCCTGCCTGTTTTTTCTTTCTTATTACTCATTTGCTACACAATCTGGTGTTAAACGATTAAACAGGGAACGAAGTACGAAAGAAAGAAGTAACGCTCTTAAGGGCGAATAAACGGTTGTCATGCGAGAGGGAAGTTTAAGTTTGAGAGAGAGAGAGCGAGTGAGCGAGAGAGAGAGAGTTTGTCTGTGAGAGAGAGAGAGTGTGTGTGTGTGTGTGTGTGTGTGTGTGTGTGTGTGTGTGTGTGTGTGTGTGTGTGTGTGTGTGTGCTCTATGTAGGACATTTTTCTGTGTCTGTTTTTGTGCGTTCTTGCAAGGGCCTTTGCGTGTGCTCTCTTGCTTTGCTGTGTGTGTGTGCGTGTCTGAGACGTCTGTCCCAGTTCCCATCCTCATGCTGTCTGCAGGGGGCTTGTCGTGCTGTCCCAGGATGAACCAACACACACTTTTTCCAAGAAAGCTTGCCCAATGGTTGTTTGTCTAAGCATCTGAGATCTGTTTACTAAATTCCTACATGTTGTCTAACAAATACCCCCCAGCCGCACCGCCTTGATTAAAAGTGTGAGTTTTGTGTAAAGCAAAAAAAAAAGAAGCTGAATAAGAAGAGCCCCATCCGTCTTGAATGAATTCTTAAATGCCATCACTGTTCCGGCGCGAGGCGGGGAGTAATTTGCAGCGTTATTACCAGAATGAAGGCTGATGACTTTTTTGTATATGTTAATGATCCTGCCGTCATTAATTAGAAATACCACAGATAGTTGTTTTACAAAATGCTAATGTAGCAGTCTGACCTTCTTCATTCAAAATATTTGGAATGGTGTAGATTACGCACGGTGGCAGACACATGCACACACACTTGACTTTACCGTTAAAGCCCATTACTTTACTTCAGAAAGACTTCCCCCCCACACAAAAGATTCACATACTTCTATCTACTGTTTCTTTTTCCCCTTTTTTTTTCGGTGCCTCTCATCCTGTTCTTTAACCCAAAACTAATCCGGACTAAATGTCAGGTTCTCCCTCTCCTTGTCTTCCACTCCTCCCGCTCTTTTCTAGTCTTCTGTCATTCCTGAAGTGGCACTAATCCTCCCCTTCTCTCTGTCTCCTCAGCTCTCTACACCCGTCCTCTTTTTTTATGATCTCTCGCTACTGGAGCAAAACTAATCTAGGCACCATCCATGCAGTCTCTAACACTTCCTCTTCCTTGACTCCGCCCCAGCCACTCCACCTTCTCTGTGTCTTCTCTATTTCTTTGTTATCTCCATATCTACTGCAGAGTAATTCACCGACTCCCCTCTCCCGGTTTACCCGCTCCATCTCTGTCGTGCGCATGCTGTGCGACGAGTGCGTTGGGATGAGAATACATGAGGCCGGAGAGAGGAGAGCAAAAGGAGATGGATGAGGGAGGAGATGAAGGAGAGTTGGAGGGTCTCTCGCTCTCTTTGCCTGTCCATTAGTAGCGGTTTACCACAGCTGTTGTTGTGTTGTTCCCTATAGTAACACCTCACCTCTGGTTCCTTCCCGCTCAGGTTGCCTTTTATCTGACAGGTAGCATGGCAGCAGGGCACACCGTGACCATGTCTATGTGTGTGTGTGAGAGTGTGTATGTGTGTGTGGCCCTCGGTGATGGAAGCTTCTCGCCCTTCAACTACATCTTATCTCTTATCTAAACTGCAAACTTTGCACCTCCCTTCCTTCTTCATTCGCCAGAACTCTATTTTTTTCGTAAAAGCATGTTATTAAAACCACAATTCCATGCGGGGAGGCCCTGTTGTGGCCGTTTGAGTTCATTATCAACACACACACACACACACACACACACACACACACACACACACACACACACACACACACACACACACACACACACACCGCTTGGACAGCCGCCGACTCTCGAAAACCCAGACTCGATACTTTTGACTTAAACTGCTATTTTCCGTTTGCGTTTTTCGTTCGCCGTTATTTCGCCTTTTGTGTTTTTTGCTAATTTTTTCCTAATAGTGAAGTGCTAATAGTCAGGGTGGGTTAGCTTTAGCTTCTATGTGTAAAATGGCGGCGTGAGAGGAGAGGTAGGATGGTGGAACAGTGTCTGTCTCTGCAGTGGGGGCGTTCTGCCTACTAGAGAACACACACACACACACATACACTTCCATGCGCACGCGCACTCACACTTTTGGCCATTGTTGTGCATGTACAGTTACACATGCGCATGTTTCTGACTGCAGTGCAGAGACAGCACTGTTTTTGCAGTCACGCCATCATGAACGCCATTTTGTGGCGCTGCTCACCGTGAGCGAAATTATGATGTTGACCAAACTAATGGTCCTTGGTGTTCAGTTTATGCGCAAATGATGTGATTAAAGTCAGATCAAAACACACATATCACACACAGCCGGGTAAACACAAGGCATTTTAGTTTCGAGGTGCGCGGCCGCGTTAACACAAAAATACTTTTCAGTAAAGTGTTTTTCCTCTACCCAACTTTAATTTAATACTGATTTTTCAATTTTCATAAGATAATTATTTTTTTAATGTGACATCAAACATTTCCAGAATGAAAAAAATAACAATTATAGTCGAGAAGGAATTGAAGTGATACAACTGGATATACATTTATTTTTTCGTATAAATCTTCTTTTTTGTTTTGTCTTTTTATTAAAATCGTTAATTTGATTTAGATCATACACCTTTTTTTTCACACTTCATCAACACTATTAAAACTTGAAATGACAGCTGGTTTATAAATATTCTTTGACCAATACATTCTATTAAATCATGGGATGATGGCAAAAATGCCGAAAAAATGTAACGAGTGAAGGCCTGAAATGTTTGATTATTACGCTATTTTTGTTTGCTTTGATTTTCCCCGTAACAACACTCGCAATTATAGACACATAGACACACACATGCACGCACAGCGGAGTACTCGGAGGCCCAGACCCAGCAGGCTATGTAATGCTTCGTTAACCCCTCGATGGTCGTTAGCTGTACCGAACCTGGGAGTCATTTAGTGTCTCGTGTCTGTCGGAGCGACACGTAGCAACAGAGACCTGTAGGTACAAGATGGAGATAACAGACAGACGCAGTGTTTGGACAATAAGCCCTCATTTGATAAATCCTTTCTGCCCCTGTGTGACTGTACAGCAGATGAGCTCAGTGTCCCATTTCCTCTCTCATAATCTCAGTCAGTCGCAGCGGGATGTGGATTGGTGGTAGTTTTCCTGGAGACATCAACACACACTTTGTCTTTGTGTGTGTGTTTGAGTCTTTGGGGTTGCAGTGTTAGCGGTGGGTTCAAGGCTATAGATCGATTTTAATAACGGCGGCAATTGTGCAGCTTCATCCACGTTTCCTGACCTATAGTCCTCTCCCTCGCTGATGTTACACTGCGGCTCCTTTTTCTGAACAGTTTCCGCTTTTCACTCTCACCACCTGTATTTCTTATCCTCTTATTTTTACCAGATCTCCCACCCCTCCTTTTCCCTTCATCCTCACCATCCCTCCATCCCTCCGTCCATTATTTCCTTTTAGTCCACCCCCTGCTGAGAAAGTGACACGCAGACACAAACAACCCCCCCATCCCGTCTCTCTCTCTCTCTCTCTCTCTCTCCCCTCCCTTTTCTCTCTGTCTGACCTTGTTTCAATCTTTCCAACCTTCTTTTTTTTCGACATACTTTCTCACTCGGGTCTCCAACGCTCTTCCTTTCATCTTCTGTCCACTTCTTGGTTTCGCTCTGTCATTTTGAATTTTCATGTGTTTTTTCCCCCCGTTTTTCATTTCCTGTATCCCCTCTGTATAATCTGGATCATTCTTACTCCTTCTAATTTACATAACACTATCTTTTCCTGTTGCCATGCTTCTCAAGCGCTTTTTTTATCCGACCTTTAAGAGAATTTGCATAGGGGACATATTTAGGGTTGCGCAGCCAGTCAGTGCTCATTTTTCATGGCGTAAGTCTTTGAGTAATGGTAAATACCTTCCCCTGTTCATTTGTCTGTTTCTCGCCCCCTCTGTTCCACAAAGCAGTAGCTTTATTGAGAAAGTTAAGCATACAAAAATGACTAATCAGCAACTTGTTTCTTTGCCTCAACTTTACTGAATTATGTCTTTCTCTTCTTCTCTCTCTCTAGTAAAAGCATCAGAGGGTTCAAAACAAATACAAGGTAAGCTGCAACATTTGAATCCTTATTTATTCTCGTATACGCATTTTTACAAGTGCTTACAAATTATTTGTATGATCAAAAATGAGTATGATGTCGCCATAACTTTACAGCTCTATTGTAAAAATCCCCAATGTTGCACTTCTATAACATCCTACTATCTTCTGGAAAGTTTTCCTCACAATTTTGGAACCGGCTGCAGGGATTTCCTTGAGTTTTTTCAATGGTGCTTTCTAAAAAGTTTCTAAAAAACCAAAAACTCCCTAAAAACTGCCGACAAAGTTAGGAGGCCTTTTCTATAATAACTGTATATGCTTTACCATTGAGGTTTTCATGAATTGCAATCAAAGCACGGAGCCCAAAACGTGGAAAACTAGTCCACACTAAGGGTGACAATAATGTCCTTCTCTCTTTCAGAAACTGAGGCTGTAACTAGTGCCTGCTACCTGAGGACAGCTTCCCCTCCCCTCCTCCTCACCCTCGTCCTCCTCCTGCTGACTACCTGACTTCCTCGTCTGTCCGCACCGCTGACCCGCACGCCCCGGCCCGAGAGATACTACTCAGATGGTCAATTTACACAACGCATTCTCCGTTCGGACAAGTGAATGACGCAATGTGTTCTATGCCAAGTTGCTGCAGATGACACATGTTCCATTGTGGCTGGTTTACCTGTGAAAATCCCGAAGAATTTTTTTTTGTCTTTTTCTAGAACGGGGCCAGATTGACTCAGGGACCGAAACGCTGGATCACAGTGATTAATTTCTTTCACCCTAAGTGTATAGTAACACAGAATATTACACATGGAGGTAAGACTCATAACGAACTCTGATGCCAGATAACATTGAGTCTGTCAGGACACGTTCCAAACAAGTTTTTCCTCTACCGTTTTAGTTCCTCATGTTCTACTTTTTTGTATTTTCATGTTTTTTGAGTACCTGCCACATGGTAACAAGTGACCAAATTAAAACACTACTGTACTGAATGGCTCAGGTTGACGTTAAATCAGTTAGCTGGGGACTTTTATAATTTTCTTCATATTGTTAGACATACATAACTGACACATTTTTTTAAGTTTAAGAAAAAGATAATTAAGATCAATTCATCAACAAATGTATAGATTTTGGAAATAAAGGTATTTAGGAGGAAATTAGGAATGATTAGTCAACTGGGGCTGCTGCGCCCCCTACTGGGATCAAACTGGTTCAAGTGGAGTTGGACTGGGTTGGCCTTAAACTTAAACGTGAACCCTATATTGCGGTCCTGTGAGGTAACAACGGGACCTGTGACAGAATTAGTCCTCTTTGATTGGACCCCATGTTGTTCTGCTTCTCTACTCCTCTCTGCTTCAAAATATAGCACAGAACAGAGGGGTTTATGGGTAAAGAGGGAGCATCAGCGCGCCTTGCTCCACTGAACACGCTGCGGAGGCTTATTTGTCGATGCCCCCTGGTTTTTACACATCCTTGATTTTAGGTTTAACTGTATAGTTAATATATTCTGCAAAATTAAGATGTATTAACCGCATAAAAAATAAGAGCGGATCTCTGATATTGAAGTGCAGAAATCGGACTAAATGTATATTCTGGTAAAGGATGTGTTGCTTTTGTTTTTTTCATATGCTCTGCTACAATGTAGTTTCACAGGTAAATTGATATCATGTTATTTTTGCCAAATATTTTTCTTTAAATAAATTGATTGTCCTGGATTAAGAAAAAGATATCAGAAAAAAAACATGGCTTTAAAAATGTAAATGAACAGCATAGTTGTTTATTTTTCTTTGAAATTAAATGAATTTTATATATTTGTAAATTTACATAATTATTTCCCCACAATATTTGAGTGACTTGAGGTCAGAAAATGTATAGGTAATTGTTTTTTTGTTCTCAAATGTTTTATTCTATCTTTAATCTACATTGTTAGCACTTAATATATGCTCCTCCATGCTGTAAATCACACCAGTCATGCTATTGTTTTTTTAAATGTTAATTTCCTAAATGGGCGATACAAGTTAAGTTTGAAGATGTGTTAAATAACTTCAGTGTAGGATTTTACAATCATGTACAACTAGGAATGTGTTTTTGATATCTTAAGTTTTTGTTTAACTTGTTCTCCTTTCACATTTTAGTGAAGAATGTAGCTTCTTCTGTGAAGAGCCAATTGCAATCTGAGCCTTTTTTTTTTACGTGGCAAGACAACAAAAATAAATATGGTTGCATTTAAAGGCTTCAAGTTGATCATCATTTAACTTTTGAAAGTATTTATGTTTTAACAGCAAGTCTCCGTGAAGACACACGAGCATACTCACAGCTTTATTTGCGGAACACACACGTCCAGTTTAATACACATGGGTATAGAGATAAGGAGACTTCAGGGACTTTAAATGACCTTGTGGTGCAAGAGGCCATTGTAATGTGAGTAACTTAGTGGAATATTGAGCTGAGTCTTTATCTATGGGCAGCCGAAGCCCGATAAGACTCCAATAGACTCCCGGTATTAATAGACCCTGAAGCATCATGCCCAATACATCAACCTAAAAGTAGTAACTGCATTCATTTTCAGTCATTATAAAAACACAGTTTCAACACAGAACTGAATACAGAGCAAGACAAAATGTTGTGTAGTTTAAAAAAAGATATAGTGTACATCCAGATAAGCTGTAAATGCATTTCCATTTATGTAGGCTGTAATGTAGTTGAGCCTCTTGTGAAGCCAGAAAGGCAATTTCCTGGATAATAGGGCTAATGCTGCTATTTCATGGCTTATGATCTCTTTTGATGACATGTTTGTCACTGTTGAGGCATATGATGAGCTGGCTATGATTTTGACCTTCACGAAGAAATGTTTTGCTTCTTTTTCACTGTGAATAATGACGTAAGCATACTGAAATCAGCAGAAAGTGAGGGGGTACTTTTAGACTTGAGTCAAAGGAAAAGGACTTAAAAAGCAGCAGCAGTGTCCATTTCCATTTTAGTGTATAAAATATTTATGACTTTTTATGCCAGCAGAAGCATGCACAAACCAAAGCTTTTACATGATTATGTGATATTGAGTTTTGAAAAAAAGAAAATGTGTTAGCTTTGATTCTAGGATATGCTTGAACAGTCAACATTTCTGAATTTCTTTGGACTTAACAATGTTGATGTTTTCATTCGGCTGTGTATCAATACCAAAGCTGGAACCAAACTCGACCTCCAAAATAAACGTTGTAATTATGGACAGATGTTGCCATAATATATATATTTAGATCTAGAAGATCGTGAAAATGCAACGTCAAAGCTTCCTGCACGGCCTTTTGTGGCGACTGTGATCATAAACAATTTCATGGATGACATGTTTAGTTTTTAACTATCTGTCTGACTAAAGTGTTCCATATCCATATTTGCAGCTTGTGTTTTCCACCAATGAAACTGTAATTAGACTGTATCAAATTTCAACACGGCAAACTGGCTTATATTCTTGGATTGCCGGTGTTGATTACATCTCAGAATACAAAACTCTGGCTATTAATAGTCAAACAATGCTTATAAAGCTATATTATAATTATATGAAAATGCACCTGCTGAAATAAGTTTAAAAATGTATGTCTGGTTAAGTTTTAAACATTTCCAAGGTACCATGTTTCTTTCTTCTTAGAGTTTAACAGGGATTACATGAACAAGATACATGCTACAGCCTTTCCTTACATTTTGTAGGAATTCATTTCAATGTTGAGAGCTTCTTGGCTGGTAATTGACACCTTGAGCGATGTTCTTGTAAATTCTGTTGCTGTATATTTAACATATTTCAGAATCAGGGTGAATTGAGGTCAGAGGACGTCCCTGATGCTGGAAGTGTCCTTCTAAAGACTTAAGAAAATAAAGTTACAAATCCCTAATCGCAGGGCAGTGAAGATGGCTGTCTTTGGCCATTCTCTTATGAGCTATCCTTCACATTGGAAAAAAACATGCAAGGATTGTAAAAATAAACAGAAGTTTTTCCCGCACTCAATGGGACATATTTTTCTACTTCATTCATGTTGTTATGTTTTCACTGTTTTCACTGAGATGGGGCTATGAATGTGATTGTAGGGCAGAGCCATTTCAAAAGGTTCCACTGATCTTTTCCCAAATATAAGTTGTCATTTAGGCTCATAACTGCCGATACTCAAAAACTACTTCTTTTTTTTCTGAAATCTCACAAAATCTACTTAAAACAACTCCAGGCATAAAAAAGCTCTGATTTACAGGAAAACACTTTGATTTTCTGTTGGATGAAAATCGCACTCACTTATCTGCATTGAGGGTTATGTACTCCTCAAGGTAAAGTATCGTGTGTGTGTGTGTGTGTGTGTGTGTGTGTGTGTGTGTGTGTGTGTGTGTGTGTGTGTGTGTGTGTGTGTGTGTGCAAGCAATATAATATAGTGCTGCCTAAGACCTCAGAATAATATCAAGATCCGAGAACTATTCTAAAGTCGCCACCGATCAGTGAAGTGTCACATGACATCTCTTGCACATATTGCATCTACTTTTTCAATACTTTATAATCAGATTCGGTATATATTTCTCGGGGTGAATATTTGACCCTTCATGCAGTGGAGAGTAAAAGACTGACTTAAGATGCTAAATCTTTGGAGCAGACTCTCCACATAAACGCCTTTAGAGTCTTCAGAATTCAGTTTAAGAATATCCCTTTCATTTATTCTGGGAGGTTTCACTTCACTTGTTTCCCAAGCTGCTCGCTATATACCGCACTTATGTTATATAAAGGTAAAACATTGGAAGCCATGCAACTGCAATTATAGAAAAATAATGTAGGTGTAGTAATTGTGCAGATGCAGAAACCCCAAAGCTTTAAAGCTCAAGTGGTGTAATTATTGAATTGTTAAATATAAAATTAGTTTAAAAAGTTGAATCTGATGACAAAAGACAGCCCAAAACTTCCACACAAAAAAATCACGTTTCATCTCATTTATCAAACTGAAGCTCCAAAATGTCACCCAATATAATTTAAAATAAATTAATCTATTTAAAGACACATTAGCTTTTACACATTTATTACTGAAGATGTCACATTACAACACACCCGCTTTTAAGTAATTTGTTTGTTTAGTTTTGAACGCTATTTATTTGATTATATTTATATGAACTGATTTACTTCATCTTTAACATTAGTTCTGTTAAAAGCAAAAAAAAGGTTTATGGTATTGCTGAATGTATTTTGGGTGTAAGACTTTGGTTTGTGAGAACCTCTGAGGATTATCTTTGAATGGTTTCTACAGTGTTGATGAATCAGTGTTCTATTTCATTTCCAGGTAATGCTTAATAGTCAGGGTTTTTATTTCCTCTTCGGGCGTAGGCAGAGTTTGTTTGTTCTAAATAAAAATCCAAACCAACCGCAACTGCTTGGCTCGTATTCACATCCTTTCCACGTGTCAGGTAGCCAATAACAGTGTAATTATTTCTGCTGTGTGCTCACAAAGCAGCTACCGGTGTGTCACACAGTCTGTGATGAATGTGGAAAGACCAGAGTATAACAAGCAGAGAAAATAACATGTTACTTGTTAAACTCAGGCAAGAGCATTTTCAATAGATACATCAAAAAACAAGGCAGTCTTTTCGTGAATGTGTTCTCTTTCAAATCCATTATGCACAAAAAAGAAACCCAAGAACGCTCTGAAAAACATTCCCTGTACCGACTTTTTAGACTAAAAAGATAAACGAGATGTCATCTAAGAGAGTATATACATATTATTTCCATGCCAGATTTAGCATATTTTAAATCAGTTTAAACATTAAATTGGCCTCAGACAAGCCAAGGCAGGACCTTCTTATCTTAAAAAACAGGAATCAGATGCATTTGCTGAGCCTTTCTAGTGTAAAACATCTGTTATATGTCTAACACCCTGCACCATGTTTAAGTTATGGCTGTTGAGTGCAAACGAGCTCCAGTTGAGTTGAGCTGAGCTGAATTTCTCTCATCAGTTTTTCCGCATGCTGGTTCAGGCTTCACAGACCCTGGCTCTTTACATTAAAGCAAGCTCGCTGTGTGAAAGGCGTTTTCTAAATGCAGCCCATGTGTGCGGCTGCGAGCAGGGGGTATCGGTTGTGTCTGCCGGACAGCAAGCTGTGACAAATGTAGGATTATGAAACCAGCTTTTATTTGAACGCACCAAAACCAGACACAAACAAGCTGAATTCAGTCACACTTCATAGCAGCAAAGCAAAGCAGCTTCCTTCCTCATTCTCTCTTCCTTCCTTCTTTTCTTTCCCTCTTACTTTCATCACCTTTAATGTGTGACACTTTGATACTGAACATCCTATTTCCCGTGTTCTGGTCGGTTGGCTTTACATGCAGATGGGATTGTAATTTGCATAGACTCAAAGGTCTCCCTTCTCTCCTGATGCTTTCTGACAACGCAGTGTCTATTCATCCTCTGTGTTAAGCATCCCTATAGGACATCGCCTGAATTGCTGTCTCATGCTGCTTCAAGTCTCGTTTTACACCGCAGGAACTGCTGAGGAGTTGGATTAGGAACATATTTCTTTAGAGGAAAGCAACGCAATCACCAGGGCAGGCTTGCATCCGAACTGGATAGTTCTCTCCCATATCAAAGGTTTTCCCATATTTTTGTACAAAGCCACACCGAGTCATGCTGAGAACATATCACACACACACGGTCACACACACACGGTTAGCTCTGTGGAATATGTTGTACTGAAGAGTCTCACCTGGAGACAGACACTGGGGTGTTTCATCAGAAAAGTGAATTATGGTCCTAAAGAGAGGAACTCTGATCCCCCGGTTCTTCCTATACTCAAATCCCCTTTAGTGGCTGCTGTAATCATACTTTTATACCAGCCCACCTAAAATCTATCTTTGGAGAGCCAATTAAGTTTAAATATGCACAAGAGAAAAAATAAATAGCCACTTTGTTTATTCCTGCTCGTTCCACTTTGTCTCAAATGACACAAAAGTTGCTGTATCGGTATTTAAAATAGTGTTTGTTTGCAGTTTTGTATATTTCAAACAGACCTTGTTTCAAAAGCACAGCCGTGTGAAATTAAAAGATAACATCTTCATAAATATGGAGTTGTGGGTCTCGCACAAAAGAAAGTATTTTAGTACAGATACTTTTAGGCTCCAAGTCAATACCCATATCCTCTCCCTATGTCAACAGAGACGTCTTTCTGACTAAGTCTTCCGGTTCAAAATCAAAACATCATTTTGAAATTCATAAGATGGACTGACCAAAGATCCTGAGTCATAATACACAGGAAAGGCAGTGAGGAAGGAAGTGTGATAGATAATGTGAATAAAATTGTGAATCCAAAATGACATGAAGGATGAAACAGGCAAGTGAGAGGGATGAGTGACAAGAGAAAAAAGGACAAAGATGGAACTTTGGAAGACAAAATAACAAAGACCAAGGTAACAAACTTTAAAAAACAAAATGCAGAAGTGACTTCTCAAATACAGCATTAGAGAAAAAACATTAAAGTGCTTTATACTGCAACCTTGTAGTCAAGAAACATGATAATGTGCCCTTTAGTTCCCTTAGAGAAAATGTGATGCAGTGCCATAAAGGCTTCCCTACATGCTAAGGTCTTTTTTTGGTGCTGGTGCCCTTTGATTTGCTTTTCCCTCCCCTGGACACAAGAACAAATATAGTTCTGTGTCATGAATCGTAATCATTTTTATTGGAGTTCTTTGTTTTTGTGATTTACAAAATATTGGAACATTCTTTCCCTTTGGACCTTGAAGATTTAGAAATAAGAACGAGAAGTTAAGATGAGAAATCATACAAACGTCTCATTGACATGTAAATGTGACGGTTGCCAGAAACTATTAGAGGTCACAGGTCAAAGGTTGGGAATCCCTGATGGTAGTCAAATAATGTTAGGCTTTTTAAGGTAAATTCTTAAATTAACTCATATTTTTAGCTAACCGATGCATCTAGAGGAGTATAGGAATATGAAAAGGAACAACAACTAGAAGTATGCTATGTCCATCTGAATGTTACTTAAAAATACAATATTTGAGTAAATAAGTTGTTTATCTCCACAATTAGGGCAAATAAAATGTAGGTAATAGTCCTCAGACAAAGACTACTGGGCTTGCCAACCCTCCCGATTTTCGCGGGAGACTCCCAATTTCATTGCCCTCTCCCGGTTTCCTCCCGGGGTCATATTTCTCCCGCATTTCTCCCGATTTCTGACAAAATCAGATTTACTCACGACTGTTTCCACTCGGACTTTAATACAGCTACACTATTGTTTGGTTTCCATG